TTTTTGAATCCATCAACAACCTGATGAGAACTGACTACACCACCACTCTGCTGCTCAGGGTAATCGCACAGTCGCCCTGTATTAATGTCGACTCCAGCACTTTTTTCTTTTTAACCTACTGTAAATATGTCTTTATCTGCCTTCTGTTTTCTTGGCTCTGCTTTGTTTATCATCTTTCCCTTATGTTGTCACAATCTTGGGAAGAAGAGTTCCCTGGACTGGAAGTTTGGTTGAATAAAACTTTAAAGCTCTCCTCCGAAGAGATTCTTAGGTTTTGACAGCGAGGGTCAGGATGTAGTTGTCAGTCCTCACCTATAGGAGAACGAACAAAACTTTACATGACTCCAAAAATTACAGTTTTGACAGAGAAGACAGGAGTTCAAACAAGTGGAGGTGAATGTCTGTGACATCCAGCTCAGCTCTCCTCCTGTCCTTTAGGTATTTCTCTCCAGTCACCAAAAAAAAAAACTTAGTTTAACTGAATCGTTAACAATCATGGAGCTAACAATGTGTGGGTCAGTCGGCCTAATGAGAGCCAAGTAGAAAGAAAAAAATATATCTTATAAAAATATTAAAAATATACTTTTATATGTGAATATATATTTATTGTATTATTTGGACTATTTTTGACTTTTTTTAGGTTGCCGCTTTGAAGTATCTGCCGACCGTCCTTCATGATGTGGAGAAAGTCTTCGATGCCAAGCTTCTTAGGTAGGTCTCACAGAGCTGAGGTTGAACCTGCTATTCTAAAAAGAATTGGAAAAAAAATCCTAGAAAAATAATAATAATTATATGTTAGTGGTTCCGTGTAGTTGTGGTTAGCACGCCTGCCTTGCAAGCAGAGAGCAGAGCATCCTGGGTCCTAATGGCGCCACCTTATGGTGGCAGCTGCCACAAGGGTATGAGAGAATTCACAGTAATTCAAACTGTTGATCAGTTAATTTAAAATCCATGATATTATCTTTCAAAATAAGAGCTTTTTAATAGCCTTTTTTGTGTTGGACTGGATCTGTCCAGGATCTGACCTTCCCTTTCC